GACGTATGCCCTCCGTCCCAACTGAACAGAGAGATCGCTGCCACGCCACCGAAATCCAATCCGGTCATTCATCCAACGCTTGCCCGAGAAGGAAAACAAAGCTGAGAGAGTTACACACTGCGGCAGGAATGCAACCCCGGAGACAGTCACGCACCCATTTCAAAGGAGCAAGAACCTTTCACAGGTGAACCTGTTCCAGCGGACAGGGCAGAAAACACCAGTGCAGGCACCAAACCTGAAAGACAAAAAGAAAGAAATCACATGGGAGACAAATGAATAGAAATGCTACATGGCCAAAAGAGATGTGGTAGACAAATGAATAAAAATGCTACATGGCCAGCAGAAAAGGGCGGACACCAGCAGTGACAGATCCGCGAAACACATGAATAGAAATGCTGCATGGCCAGCGGAAAAGGGCGGACACCAGCAGTGACAGACCTGAAAAACAAATGAATAGAAATGTTGCATCGCCAGCGGAAAACGGCGGACACCAACAGTGACAGACCTGGGAGACTAATGAATAGAAATGCTGCATGGCCGACGGAAAAGGGCGGACACCACCAGACAAATGAATAGAAATGCTACATGGCCAGCGGAAAAGGGCGAACACCAGCAGTGACAGACCTGGGAGACAAACGAATAGAAATGCTACATGGCCAGCGGAAAAGGGCGGACATCAGCGGAAAAGGGCGGACACCAGATGGCCAGCGGAAAAGGGCGCGAACCCGACCAGAAGCACTCAGCCTGGGAGACAATGAAAAGAAGTGGGAGACAGTTGAAAAGAAGTGGGAGACAAATGAAAGGAAGTGGGAGACAAGCCAGTTGGGAACTTGACTACAAGCGTGGGAGACAAATGAAAAGAACTGGGAGACAAGGGAGTGGGAGACAAGCCGACCACAAGCACCCAGCCTGGGTGAAAAGAAGCGGGAGACAAATGAAAGGAAGTGGGAGACAAGCCAGCCGCACAAGCACCCACCCTGGAAGACAAATTAAAAGAACTGGGAGACAAATTACAAATAGAAAGAAGTGGGAGACAAATAAAAAAAGGACGTTGGGAGACAAGCCAGCCGCCACAAGCGCCCAGCCAGACGGGAACCCGACCACAAGCACCAGCCTGGGAGACAAATGAAAAGAACTGGGAAACAAATGAAAAGAAGTGGGAGACAAATGAAAGGAAGTGGGAGACAAGCCAGCTGGGAACCCGACCACAAGCACCCAGCTTGGGAGACAAATGAAAAGAACTGGGAAACAAATGAAAGGAAGTGCCAGACCGTCCAGCACCAAGACGACCATTCTTTAAAGCATTGAGAACCCCTAACAGTAAACTGTTTGG